TAAGAATATTCTAGAATATCAATAAAGTTTATATAATCTAATCTAATGACTAAAACATCACGATTACACTATTAAACATCACAGCTGACAAATACATTATTCTCTGTACCTAATGCATGTCACTAGCAGCTGGACTCCATCTGCATCTACTCACACATAGTGTAGTGAATTCAGATTAAACTTACAAGTCAGAATTTGGCTGTTGCAATCAACCAGACCTCACTTCTGTAGGCCCTTTGTGAACTCAAGACTATGGAATGAAGTAACTTTCCAAAGATAATCTTATTCCTGTTTTGTCAATTATATACCTGGTTTGTAGCCCAGGCAACCTGAAATACCCCAGGTAACCTAAGCCAATTGCTCCAGGAATGTATGATGCTGCTTTCTCATAATAATAATGTAATAATAATAATAATAATAAACAAACAAACAAACGTATGTTGCTTTGGACAAAAGCTGGTTTGGGATATAAATCTCAGGAACCAGCAGGCAGAAGACCTGGCGTTATAGATGGATGGCCCAGTTTTATTGGTCATGGGCCTAGTTAGATCCGATCAATTGGGGCTATTTTAGGTGCCAGTAAATGAGTATATTACCAGGTTTGCTGTTCATCATTTCTGCTAAGAGAAAATCTGTGGGGTGGAAAGTTAGTGTCACTACAAGAAACAACTGGACCTACTGTCTTCGGTTACTCCAGTCATTCCAGCACCAGTCATTCCAGCACCAGTCATTCCAGCAGGAAACAAAGCAGGAGAAGGTAGCCGAATGCTGTGACTCACAAAGACTTAAACTGTACACAGTCAGCAGAAGTACTTCAGCAGTCACTTCTGGCTCCCTGAGGTCCCTGGAGCTCCCAGTGTAAAATGCCTCCATCATCTTTGTCACTGTTCAAAAATCAAGACTTTATTGTCACATGCAGCATAAGCTATAAGTTACACTATACAATGAAAAGCTTATGCTACGTGTCCTTCTGACTCTGTAACACAATAGTACAACTATGTGAATACCTAAACACCGTAGAGTGCACAGGCACCTACGGGCAAGTTGGTGACTCTAATTAACCTCAGCATGTTTTTGGACTGTGGGGGGAAACTGGAGTACCTGAAGGAAACCCCATGACAACACAGAGAACATGTGAAATCCACACCCATGGTCCCACATGTGCTAACTACTGCACCACTGTGCTGTCCTGCTTGTCATCATAAGAATCTTAATATCAGAATGGATACTATTATAATCTCTTTATTTTCTGTCTGTGTGTATGTCTCACCACCATTTATTATATTATAAAAGCTACATCAGAATCAGAATCAGAATAAGCTTTATTGCCAGGTATGTTAACACATACGAGGAATTTGTTGTAGTGACAGAACTCTACAGTGCAACAGAAAGACAGTGACAAGACAAGACACAGGTAATAAAAACAGTTATATACAGATATACAAAGATATACAA